TCCTGGCGTTAATCCGAGGAAAAGCGGGGGTGGGGGAGGGTAAGGTACCTTCCTCCGCGCTACTGCAAGCCGTGGCCGCCGTCCCTGAGGGCCAGGAAATCCCGCAGGCTGCTCTCAAAGCCGAGGGGACGGAGGTGGGGGCCCGCCATGGCCGCCCCCAGGTAGGGGAGTAGCTGGCAGCGCTCCACGAAGCGCTCCAAGCGCTTGCGGTAGGCCTGCCGCACCGGCGCCGGGCTCCGCGGGTTGTACGCTGCAAGAGGTGAAGCGGGGTTTTAGTGTTCCGCGTTAGCTTTGTGGAATTACGTTACAGAAATTTTAAAGGGGCTCCAAGTCTACCCCTGGTGTTTTTATCCTCGGTACGGGTAAAGCTGCCCTGGGCCGTGCCCGTTGGTACCATCACCATCCCTGTTTAAAAGAGGGGTAGATGAGATGCCAAGAGACATGGTTTAGTAGTGGACAGGTTATGGTTGGACTCGATGATTTTAAAGGTCTTTTCCAACCAAACAACTCTGATTCTATGCCAAACCAACCAGAAATCAAGTCTGGTGTTTTAGACGTTTCTAGCTCCAAAAGGATAAGGATACTGAAAAAGATAAAGGCTTTTGTGAACAAAGAAACAGCAAATCTTTGCTCAACTGCCATCACCTTCTTGTACCTCAGGCATGAGGGTCTGGGGATGCTCCAGGCAACGACAAGTTTGGGTAATGCAGCGCATGCCCTGAAATGGCGCTGTGATAGACCAGGCTGGCACTGGGCTGCTGCGTCCTTGGCACAACCATTCTGTGACCAAAATGCTTTGTCCATAAGAAATCAAGAGCTGATGGATAGTTCGGAGGAGGAAGGACATGTCAAGGCCAAGAACTTCACAGTGAAGATAGTATTTTTCCTTTCTTTCTTACCTCTTTGCCCTGAGCTGTATTTTGGTGTACGTTAGTACTGAGTGTCAGCCTTCAGAGTATTCTTCATTATTTAAAGAGAAAGGAGTGATTTAAGACAGCCAATTCATAGCCACTTTTTTCCTGTGGGTGGTACTTTATTTGTCATTACAAAACCTGGACAGCATGAAGAACTATGCTATGAGACACTTCAGCCTTCTGGCTTTAAATTGTAGACAACTGTGTTTAACAGCTTCCAAGGGATTTGTCAAGCATAGCTGTACATAGAGGTCTTAGAGGAGTCAAGTTTGAAGGGCATTAAATCACTCTAGTGATGTATGGTTTCCTAATCCTTTTTTCCAGGAGTAAATCTCTCTGCATTTATGATTTATCACCTGTACCTTCTTGGATACTGAAAGCAACCCAGTATTGCTGTTAGAAAAGCTGCAGAAGCAACTAAACCATTGTTTCTTGTCACCTATTTAAATGTAGGATTAGAGAGTGACATAAGTTGAAGATGAGAAAGTCTTACTTAAGATAAAAATAGAATGTAAAAAATTCGCAAGAGACCACAACATGAAGCACTTTGATCAAGCTTTTGGTCAAAAAGTCATAATCACAGAATCACAGAATATTAGGAGTTGGACTGTGACTACGCTGAAGAGATGCACAAGAATAAGTAATGCTGTATTGACAAAGGAGATTTTTCAGTGTACTGGAATGCTGTATCTCAAAGTTGGAAGCTGTTCTGTTCAGTATTAGAAGAAATTAACTTGTTTTCCTGCGTTCCTATGGCCAAACTATTTATCCCTGCATAAGAAGAGATTTGTGCACTTGCATAACCTTTCGATTTCATCATCCAGCACTGATAGTGATTTAATGATGCAGTGTATGAGCAAAGCATTCCCGTTGTGGACATCGTTACATTAGCAAAGCTGTGCTAACAATAGAATGAAAAGTCTTTATGGATGAAACAAACTGCAGTATAAAAGCAGTTTTGCTGGCTTAAGAACTGTACATTTATACAGGGGCTTATCACGTGCCTACGCTGTTCAGTGCTCTTCCTTAACAAAGCTATGCTAGCAAAAATCTGTGGTAGTCCAAGAAAATTCTGGCAGGCTCTGGAAACTGCATGAGGAAACACAGGATGTGAAGAACTTCAGACAAGATTGCCATTATCTAAAAGAATAAGTAAAAGTTTGAAGTAAAAAAAGGCAAGGTAATGTTCAGCCACTGAACCGGTTGGCTTAAAAAACTGGTGGGTTGTAGAAATGGCAGTCTTGCTTCAGAAATCTCTAGCAGTACTGGAAACTTCACAATGCTACAGCCAAACTACAAGCTAGGCTGTTGAAGTCTTGAAAGCTGGCACTATTTAGGCTGATTGCAAACTATTAAAGATTATTAGCTGCAACTGCTATCTTGGACTGCAAAAAAACCCAAACAAACTGAAATTCTAAAAAAAATAGCAAATATGAACGGAGGAAACAAAGCTTGAACAACTTTCCTCAGTGAAGGAGTAGTCCTAAACTCCAGTAGCTCCACGAGATGTTTTACTTTATCATTAATTTGTTAGCTGAGTACAAACCACCTAATTTTCATTTTGGACTGTTTGTTATGGAGAAGTAAGGGGGTTGATTAAATAAAAGAGGAAGTTAAAAATAATCAACATACTCTGAAACACAATATTCAGATCTTCCTGCATAATTTGACAAAAAAAGCAGACTTATAAATAACATTTAGTTTCTCTGTGCTAAAACTTAAAAATCTAATTAACTCTGGATGGATATCTGTTCTTTCACATGGTGTAACTTAGTGTGTTGATACTGAGCCCATGGAGAAAAGGGCATTTTTTGAAAATCACAGGTGTTCTATGTGTACTTAGGCTGTTTCTCAATACAATTAGACCTCCCATTTACGTATTTGGCTGATTTGTTGTTGGAAATGTGTATGATCAGAAAGTTGTCTTCACGTTATCTGTAAGGCAAGGTTTGTTAATAAGTTTTGTTTGACCGCCTGATACAGTTGAAAAAAGGCAAGCATTCAGGCACTTAACATTCATAGAATCATAGAACGGTTTCGGTTGGAAAAAACCTTTAAAGTCCAACCATCAAACCAGCCCAAAGTCATCCGCTTGTCTTTTGAACACCTCCAGGGATGGTGACTCAACCACCTCCCTGGGCAGCCTTATCCAACAACCCTTGACAACCCTTTCAGTAAAGAAATTCCTCCTAAAATCCAACCTAAACCTGCCCTGAAGCAAATTGAGGCCATTTCTTCTTGTCCTGTCACCAGCTATGAGGGAGACGGACCCCCACCTCACTACCTGAAAGGAAGTTGTAGAGGGCGATAAGGTGTCCCCTCAGTCTCCTCCAGGCTGAACAACCCCAGCTCTCTCAGCTGCTCCTCCTAAGACTTGTGCTCTAAAGCTTCCTCAGATACAATTTTGGCAGCCTTTCATTACAGTAATTTTAATCAAATTTTAAGACAATTCAGACTGTCTATGACTAGTTTAAAATATAGTACCACTTAGATTACAGCATTTTACTTTCTATTTAAAAACTCCAACAAGGCATGTTGGAAGTGTTTTCAAGGCCATCAGGTTATTGGTGATAAAATGTCATCAGAGTCTCATGATTTGTGAGAGATCACTTACCTATCCTCCCTGCTCTTTACACATTTCTAAGAAACTTGGCAGTGTGTACTTAAATCAGTATATAATAGTATTTTCTCAAGTTGCACATAAGAAAATCGGCTATCAATGCTGTATTGGATGATTTACTGCATTTATATAATTCGTTATTAGTATAGCGTATCATTTTATACGTTACCTTTTAAATGGCAGGCAACAAAGAGCAGAGCAGTTTTTTTTACACTTAGGAATGGAAACTTTGGCTTTAAGCAGCCTACTTCACTCAGAGCTTTTATTAAAGAAGTTGCTAGTCCCTAAAGAAAGAAAAAAGAAAACCATTACAGAAATTGAGAACAAAATAGTTCAAAGACTGATCCAACTTGGTGAATTGTAGAAGATAACAAATAGTATAAAATAGGGAGGGAAAGTGACCATAAGTAATTTTTTGCTTCATATTCATGTCTCAAAATGTAACCAACTATCCTTAAATTATTCCAGAGAGGCTTGTGTCTATCCTGGTGTTAAAAAAATAAAAGCAAAATGTAATCTTACAAGATATGATAAACAGGAGTCAGAAAATCCATCGTATAATATTGCAGTTTATTATTCCCCTCTGATGGTCTTGCTTGTATTTTTTCCATTAAAGCTGGAAATATCTATTATTTTAAAGCTTTAAAATATTCCACTCAGTTGTAAGTACGGAATTTTTAATGTAATATAAACCTATTAATAAACATAAGACTCATATTGCATTAAAAATGAAAGAAAATGTATGGGATCTACTGTACATTGCAAAATCATACTTTAAAATAGAAAAGCAAAAACTGGCCTGTTCAACGTATCCAGCCAAAGGAAGTGCAGTGAGTAGTATTGGCTCCTTTATTGGAGGGAGTTTACGTGGAAGCTTCAGATTGCAATACTTCTCTGGTAACCTAACCAGATAAAAAGTAAGCACTCTCAAGATGTATAAAACGTGGCAAGATTAAAGGTTAAAATACAGTTAGCATATTCACCTCATAAACTTCAGAAGTTTTTCTTCGCTTTCAAAAAGATATATCTTATCTCTATATTTTGCTGAATACTCCATGTTGCCAGGCACCAAAGCTTCATATCTGAAGAGACAGAGCAATAAAGACTATTAATTCACAAGAAATCTAAAACATCCTTTCTGTGGTGTAAGTTCATGAGCTACTGGGTGCCTTTTGGTAATTTAGCTAGTACAGGAACTACAAAAAAGTAGCAATTGGATCATCCAAGTCTCCACCACATGACTGATACTTACAAGGCTCAAAATCTGAGTCTCTGCCTCTAAATCTGCTTATTGAGGGGCTTTCATAGTGCTTCTTTAGGGCTCCTCTAGTTAAAATGCCAGTCATAGTTGTTTAGGAGATTAAGAAGGGACAGCATAGAATTGACTGTTACAGTTCTGCCTTGATGAGAAATCCCTGCACACTGAGGAAATCAGCGGGACTTCACAGTGGAGCTTTATGGATCTCTTATAAAAACTGTAATAGCTAGTTTTGCATCTACTAAGGTCTTGTGAGATTTGTTTGAACTTTTGAAGGCTTACAACAGGGAAGACTCAAACTATATCCAGTTGGTCACAGCAAAAGACAGTGAGGCAACACAGATCCTTGTAGAACCTGTAGCTCTGAGAGTTTCAAAAGGTGATTTTACATTGATTTCCAAAGCCACAGACACAATATAAAGAATTGTAATTCTGTCTAAACCCTGAATGCTATATAAAAGTTCTTTGAAAGTATTTCCTCATTAATGTATTAATATTTCTATGAACGCACTATATTACAACACATTATTTCTGTTCTATTAACATCATAGTCTGTAGCTCAGATTATGAAAACCTCAGTGCTGTACCTCTGTTTGCCATCCAGGTAAGTGACTGGACAGTATCCCTGCATTTCAGCACTTGCAGGGAATAAGGCCTTCACTTCTGCCGCAGTCAGTCTCTTTGGTAGCAGATCTGGGGCTGGGAGAGGACGAGGTGCCAGTGGTGGCACATAAACCTCTGGTCTGCTCAAGAATTTCTGAAGAAAAAGAAATTAAATGTTTTTACAGTTAAAGAAGCACTGTAAGACTTTTAGTGAAACTCCAGAGGACCTGCTCACACAATGTAGATACTTGTTTCTTCTACACCACTCTCTTAGTGTTTTAGTGCTGCTGCTGCTCTCAGGTAAGTAATTTATTTTCCAACCCACTCTCAGTTGAAGTCACTGCTATCTGCCCACCATCCATCACCATCCATTGCTATTGTTAGCCACTGTCTACCCCCAGTCTCCCCAGAACAGATGGAGAATGGAGGAAATGCTTGTTTTTAAATGAATGTTTGTTCTATGACAAACTCTAAGAGGAGCTTTGGTTTGAATGGACTCTCTGCTGCATTTTGTCTCTGGATGTTTGATTGCAGAAGTATACAGAGCAAAAGCCTGGACACTAACAACACTGGTTTAATTCAGATTACATGTTGCTTGTTTCTGTATGGAATCAAAGACTCTAAGCAGCAATGTTCCCTCTTCCCGTACTCCCCTCCCGAAATGCTTTTTGTCACTTACATCCAGTTCTTCTTGAGAGGCCATTTTGTAATAGTGTCCTCGAAATTCTGCAGCAAACTGCAATGAGGACGTTACAGAGCAGTCAACCAGCTCACCCTTTTCTGCAAGGCTGACAGGACAGTACTGGCCAAACTCCCCCAGCCAATGCTGCAGCTCCTTGGGAGTGATGCATAAATCAGCAATGCTGGCTGCTTTTCCTGGTAATAGAAGTCATTAATAATAATGTTTTATTAATGAAAAACATAAAAAACCCCAACAATTCTCTTCAGAAATGTTAAAGTTTAGAAAATATAATTCCTTATGTGAAAATTATATGAAATAATAACAAAATAACAATTTTTATAGATTGATATTAAAATGAAGTTGCAACACATTTTACCAATTAATTTTAATAACATTTATATAGCACTTAAGAAATAATTACTAATTATGTGGGATAAGATGCTTATCTTATTAATCTGTTTTCCTTGGGACAGTTTTATTTATGATTTATTGTTTTATTGCTTTGTGTTGCTAAGGAACATTTCAGCTACTATTTTATTTCTTTACATTTGTGAAAAAGAGTACAAGGTGTGATGAAAGCCTCCCCTTTATTCATCCATGTCTAGCAAGTGCTGTAGTCTATCTGGATGAAATATATTCAAAATCTTAAATATCATATAAACTCCAAACTATTTAAAAATTATGCTTTTCAATCTTGATGTGAGAAAATTAAATGTATTTTAATTTTTTTTTGCTTATGACTGCAATTTTTAAGAAGGGTGCAGCCACAGAGCTGTGAAAGTTAAAACCAAAAGTTGAATATAAGATAAGGAGGTCTGTCTGCCCTTCAGAGGAATTCTAGTTAAACTGTACGAGCATGTTTAAAGGGCATATTGAATCCTGACCAATGCTGACACAGAAAAATTCAAGTGGGAACTGTGTCATTTTAGGCTAAAGTAGTTTTCTTTCCACAGCACAGAAATTAACTCAGATGGCATATTTAACCTTAATTCTGAGTTGGTAATTAACATTTTCCCCTTTGCTCTTTCTCCACTGACACTTAAGTGAAGCTGCAAGTCATAGTTTCTCTTGTGTACTTTGTGGTATCCTTTGTGATTTATCACCCAATGTTGAGGAATATGCTGTGTCCCATGAGACCTCTGACTTCTCTCAGCTGTTTTCTGTCACTCTGTTCCTTGGACGATGGCCTCAGACTGCCCTGGAGTTCTTTTTTGTCTTTGCTTCAAGAGATCTCTTCAAGATCTCTGCGAGTGAGATTGAAGAATTTGAGGGCACATATGTGCCCAAGAATTAGCTTCATGCAAAGCAAGTTAAAGTTGAAATGCACTCATTACATTGCAGCTTCTTAAAGAAATTAATATTATTTTGAGAAACTTTGTTTTTCTTTTACCTTCTCTTATTCTTTCCAGGTACGTCTGGATTTCTTTAACAGCCACTTGAACTTCCTGCAGTACTTTGTTCCAGACCCACCACTTGCTCCGAAAGGCATCAATCACACACCAGTTCTGATGCTCCTTCTTATAGTAAGTCCTAATTTCAGCAATGTGCTGTTTATAGCAGGAGTTTTTAATAGCTAGAATCTGTGAGCTGTTATGTTCAGGGTAGGGAGGTCTGAAGACAATGAAAAATAACACTGATTTAAGTCTGAAGATTAATTTCGTTGAACTTCTGCTTATTTGACACTGTAGAGCTTATTTGAGAAATACAACTTTCTTATTAAGAATGTTACTGGTTACATATGAAAAGCAGCATACTTCTGATCAGACAGTTATGTTCAGAAACAACAAACAAAGCTTTTGCTATTTATGTCCCAAATTCAACTCAATGATTTTGTAAAGGATTTTGAAGGTATTAGCTCATATTAACTGACACACGTTACTAATACACCATTAAATGGGACCCTAGACAAAATGCTATGAGACTTTTAAAATGCAAGTCAACTGTTTATTGAAAAACAGGCTTAATTTTGAATTATGCTGTTGTTAGAAATCAGGGAGTAGCCATAATCCTTGGATATATTTTGAAAACTGTCTGTCATATTTACATGTACATAAATGAAAATAATCCGTCTGACCTCTAAAAATATTATGCAAGACCAGAAGAGCTATTTTTTACTAGAACATAGAAGCATTTCCTGTTCTCGTTCTTAATTTAAAAGATGGCAAAAAATTGTAAACTTCTGTTATAAGAGGATTAATTTATCTGTAAGTTGAACCTTTCAGAAACATCTGATACTGCACATTTGATTTGTATTTAGGCCTATGAAAAGTAATTAGTTTGGTATTTAAAATGAAAAGGTTCAAGTAAATAATTTCAAAAGACAGCATTAATTTAATTTTTTGCAGTGCAAATTGTCTTTAGGCTTTCAGTAAACAATTAAGCATTGTCCTGATTACTTGATAAAAAGAAAGAGACGAAAGAGACATGCAGTAATGCTCTAAACTCTCTGGAACTTCTTAGAAACAATTCCTCTAATGAGAACCAGGTTCTTATACAATTTAATTTAAGGTGGATGTTCTGTTCTGTTGAATTCTCTGTCCATTTATAAACTACTTACTGCTCTTCCTCAAAAAGAACCAACAGCTTTAAACAGAATATTTATCTCCTTAGAAAAACAAAGAAGGGAGCAAGCTGAATTGAAAGGTTTAGATGAATAACTCATGAATTGTGTACGTTATTAAAATATACATTACTTCCATCTTTAAAAAAACCCTCCGATTAAGAATTAAAAGAGAGCTTATTAGATGAAGTATCAATTTCCCTTATGATGATAGTAATAGAATTGGAGAATAATAAACTTCAGCAGCAGGTACGGTTTCATTAAAACCAATTTCACTAAGCAGTGGATGCACAGCACTGCACATCAGTGCACTCAGTCCTGCAGTTGGGAGATCTGGCCAGAGCGTGCCACAAATTCCTTATGTCTCGGTCTCTGGTCTATGGAAATCAAAGCATTAGAATGTAGAGGGACTGGTGCCCATGTCTTTTCATATGTGGATTTCAGAGACAGCTGGGTTATGCACCAAATTAGATACAGCCTTTCTGGGTATAGCACTGAGGCACATAAGTAAAGAAATGAGAATATTGTGTGGATAAAAATATTGCTATCAGGGAGCATCACTACCTGTCTGTGCTTTCCTCATCCAACAGTGCTCTTCTGAACACTTCCTTTGCATCCATTTCTAATTCAAAGATTTTCACTGGAATTATCCTAGCTGATTCCAAGAGGTTTACTTGTTTTCTTGTTACAGGATATCCATCAATTACAACTCTGCATACAAACAAAAACAGAAAGACAGTTTTCCTAAGATGTCAGTTTCTAATTAACCATTAAAACTAAGTATATTCCTAGTACATTCTTAATAGAGACAAAAATCTACACCCACGCTGTGAAGTTATTGCTGTCCTGACTTGATAAACACAGTCTTCACTTCTAGGAATTTATAATCAATTTTTTTTAAAAAAAATCAAGTCGATAGATTAATAGTAAAGAGTAAAGGAAATACACACAGGGCAAAAGGTATAGGAATGTAAGTGGATGGCTCTGAATTATAAAAATAGACTTCAAAATTTTGACTCAACAATCATTCAGAAACATAATTTTAACTATGATAAATCTCCGTTTGGATTGGGAAGAGTGGTCTTCAAAGTGAAAAGTAAAATTATTTACAGTACTTGAAGAGTTTTTTTAAATCAGATTGAAGAGGAAATACTTTTTACATATTAGGCAGTATTGGGGCAAAATATACTGAAACAATATTCCAGTATTTAACATGAAAAAAAAAGTTGAAAAATTCTGATCTCAAGCTCAAATAATTTTCAGATATTTTTCCAGAATTGCCTTTCCCTATAACAATTCTCCTTTTTGGGGAGAGGAGTTGAATGTCATGAAATCATGATCATGAAGCTTTTTAAATCTGTCCAGTTTGGAAGGTGTTTCAGTGTTGGAGAAAGGGCCTAGGAAATCAGGATCACATATGAATGAGGTGGAAAGACTCAGTGGTTTTGGTTCCTCCTGAATAACTTCAGTTGTTAACAAAACCGGAAAAACCTTCAGTACTGAATCAGTCTGCATGACCAAAGAGAATCACATGTGTCCAAGTTGGTACTGGAGCTGGTATAAGAAAGAGAAAATGGTAGTTCTCAAAGGACAGTAGAAAATACTGGCTTATTGACTGAAAAAATGTAGCTGTCATAAAGCATATTACATGGTTTCACTGGAATATACTTACTTGAAAATTGCAGAAAATTATGCTTCAGTCTGGTTTCCCATAGTAATGTGAAGAACTTCCTTTTGTACAGATTATTTTCTTAATGCATAAACCACTGATGTTTTTTAGTAAAATTGCTTTACAGTGATAACATGGGAATCACTGCCTATGAAGGGACTGGTACATCTTGAAAAAAACCCTGAAACCCAAACACGGCTCTTACCCAGTGGTATTACACACGTGATTCATCAGCGCCACGTCTAGAGCCTGGACAGCCAGTTCATCAGGTACGGTCAGGCCTTTGTGAAGATGTGACTTTAATGCAAGTGCCAGCTCACTCTCGGGCTGATTGTTTAACACCAGCCGTAGGGCATCTCCCATGCTCAGGTGCAGTAACCCATATGCACTTGCAAATTTCTTGGCAACTGGAAAACATTTTGATTTCAACACACAGCTTTTACATAAGTAACGTCACAACCTGGCAGTCTCTTAAAAATATGTCCTTAGTCTTAAAAGCTAACTGCTCAGCTCATTCCTTGGGTCATTTCCAATGCATAATCTTGGTAAGTGGGTACCTAACCCTGCTTAGGCCCCTAAAGGACTTAAAAGTTTGCATATGTGCAGAGCATGCCCAAGGCACTAACAGCATTCAATTCAGCCCAAACCTCAGCAGCAATAGTCAATATTATTACAAAATATCTTAGAAAATATGCTTCCACTGCTGCCTCTTTAACAGAACAGCCTAGCAGTTAGATCATTTATCCAGGAAATGGGAAATATCTTTAAAATGTCCTCTTTAATATGAGATAATTTGACCTAATCTCTTCTTTTTTCTAACACCGTTTTCGAATCATAAAGCTATGGTGTAAGCTGAATTTTCTCCTCCTTCAGCCAAAAGCAGAGACCTGTGGATTGAAAGAGTCATGGAGGAAGAAGGAAGAAGGAGAGGGAAGAAAGATGGGAATCTTGGGTTTTTTTTAAATCTAGAAGTTTGGAAACAGACCGGGGAATGTAGAGTTTTGGGTTCTGGACCTTAATCCTAAGAATATTTCATCATTTTCCATTAAATCATATTGACTGAAAGAAATAAGAAACAATTAGAAAACAATCAGAAATAATACAAGGGATATAAATAGCGTAAATCCAGATTTTCTAAGTGCCAGTCCAGGTCACTAAGTTCTTAAGAAGCTGGGATAAAATCCAGATGGACAATGCATAAATATGACTGTAAAATGAGACACTAGAGAATGTAACTGAAGGACTCTATGCCCAGCAAGAAAAGCAGGAAGACCAACAATATTGATGGTTTATGATTTTTTAATAGCAGTAATGACAGATACAGCTTCCGATGTTAGATAAGGTTTTGCTTTATAAATAGTACTGGCTCTCACCTGTAGTCTTTCCAGATTTTGGAGGTCCCACAATTGCAATCTTAACTGGCGCAGCTGATTTAGGTTTTGGCTGACGAATATATTTGATGGGATTTTTCATAAATGTTTCTTTATTTTTTTTACTTGAAAAGAAATAAATATATCGTCGATGGATTACAGGAAAGACTGTGTTTTCCTGGCTTTGTGGTGCCTTGATTACCTCTCCTTCACTTAGCTGTAGCATACATAAAATGGGAAGCAATTGATTAGGTTTGTCAAAGCCTCCTCTCCCTCTATCCTACATAAATGGCTCTATACGCAGGTAGAGGAATACCAACTGTATGAAACAAGCCATCAGAGTATTCTGAAATTCATATATACGGACCTATTATGTTCTCCATGTCTGAGAAACTTCCATACATATGCAGTTCTTGTACAAAAAGATGAACATTGAAGAGAGAAAGAATATTCACTGTTTCCAGTAGGTGGTACCATAACACTTTCTGTCCATCATGAGTGTGTAGTCAGAGAGGTATAACAGAATACTTTTTTTTAACTTTTAAAGAATAAAGAAAATAATCTTATCCCTTTGTGAATTAAAACCACATATCTGCCTGGCAGTAGAAGATATACTGAGAATATTGTATTCAGCAGAAGTCATGTACAAATGAAGAAAACAGAAAAGACTATCAATACTTATATTGAGGTGAAGTGTAAAACCACAACAAGGCAAGTCAAAAGAGCTTTTGATAGAATATGTACACTACTGATAAAATCTTTTCAAATGCATCAGACAGCCCACTAGAAAGACTGTAGTGTTGGTGGATTGTTGAGTTGTAAGAGGAGCACTAATGGCAGAAATGGCTATTGCAGAAATGCTAAATTAATTCCTTGCAACACTGTTCGCTGTGGGAGAACTTGGTCATGTCCCTGTTGCAGCCCTTCATGGAGGAATTGCCTTAAAAGATGTTTTAGAAAAAACTGTTGACATCTGTAGAAAAAATTGCCCAGACCAGATGGCATTCACCTTACAGTTCTAAAGGGACTCAGAAGTTAAATTGTTACTGACTGATGTGTAACCAATTGTTTTTGTTTGCTTTCCTTCCACTAAAAAAGAAAGTGGAGAAAGTAACTGTTTTTTGAAAAGGCCTCTAGGGTGGATCCTGGCAAACATAGTCCAGTAAATCTGACCCTGTATTTAGCACGTTGAAATATATTAAGGAAAAACACCAGCAGTTACAGGCATACATATGAAATAATGGGGAAAAGCCAACTCAGTTTCTTGTAGAGGGAAATCATGCCTCACAAATCTATTAGTATTCTTTGAAGGAGCCAGTAAATATATAGATAAATTGCAGTATGAGATGAGACTGCTCTGCTGCATGACATTACCTTGCCAGACCCCTCTCTGATTCTTGGGTTCCTATTCCTGCATCAAGTCAGTTCAGGGTGCGTGCTCTCAATTTATAAGCTGTCAGGAGGAGTCTGTTTTACTGCAGATCTGCTCCCATTCCTCCCTCAGCTGAGCATTTTTATTCTCTGCTTATCTAATCAGTTGCATAACTATTCCGCCCCCCCCCC